TTTATGACAGAAAATTATTTGTTTTTGTTTTGTTTTTTTTGTTTTGGTTTTGGTTTTTCTCCGGTACCGGAACCGAACTCACGACCTTGCGCTTGCCAGGCAGGCGCTTTTGCCGCTGAGCTAAATCCCCAGCCCCGACAGAAAATTATTTGGATCAGGATAAGCCACACTACGTGGCAATAATGAAAACACCCCAACCCATCCTGAATCTCAATTGCTTTAACTCAGTACAAGTCTCTTACCTTAGTTTAATGCATGTTTAGGCAGTTCTCCATGTTGCAGTGTAGACTGCTTCACTCTTTTAACCTAAGCATCTTAATCCAAAATCCCCATAAGGCTCACCATAGCAGAGAAAGAAGTGTCCAGAGCTGCTATAGGCAGTTATCTGAAAGTGATACCCGTCAATCAGCTTGCACTTCATTGGCCAGTGTTAGTCCTGCGGCCTCACCCCACCGTGAGAGGGTAAATATGGAGTCTTCTGTGCTGTGTGCCCAATTAGAAGAACTGGGTATTGTTTTTTGTTTTTTTTGTTTTTTGTTTTTTTGGTTTTGGTTTTTCTCCGGTACCGGAAACCGAACTCACGACCTTGCGCTTGCCAGGCAGGCACTTTGCCGCTGAGCTAAATCCCCAGCCCCAAGGGTATTTTTGAACACAAGTAATGTCTACCAGTTACTCACAGGCACTGGGTACTTAGTGCTAAACAAAGCAGGCATCATTTACCCTTCCCGCATGGAACACTCAGTCTTAGTGCCATGTTCCCGAGGACACTAATGTCTATGAAGAACCAGATTTCAACCGAAGCCAGGCAAGAAACTAGATCGCAGAGGTTGCGTTCAGTATGTATTGAGTAACGTGGGAAAACGGGAAAGAGTAACAGTGTAATATAAGTGACAAGTATGGAGAACTTAAGAATCCTCAATAAATATTTACTGAATGAATGTTAAGTGAGAAATAAGAAGAAATTTAGCTCTCAGAAATGAAACAGGGAAGGCAACAGAGAGAGACAGATATAGGAAGAAAAAACACATGGAAACAGTTTATGCTTTTCAAATGTTCTGAATAATATTTGGGAATAAAAGCTGTTCTTGCTGTATCTACTGCTTCCAGTAAGCCTGGAATATTTCCGTGCTGGTCTCTTCTGCCATAGTGCGGGCGCAGAAGAACGGCTTCCCAGCCAGACTGTCTCACTCTTACCTAGTCAGGAGCAGGAAGATAGTGGCGTAATCCGCACCTGACTGTCTCCTGGCATGTTTTGTGATAAAACAAGTTCACTTGATTGGCAGTTGTCAAATACAGAGGAGGCACAAGACAGTACACTGCTGTAAAGCCTTAAAACATTACGAAGTGAAGCAAAAAGCTTATAAATGCAGTTCATTTCTGAAATATTAGAGGTGGTTTCCTAAAATAATTAAAAATGGTTTACATACAGTGGTTCTTGAAGAAAAGAGATGACACATGGGGGGAAAACATTTATAACAACTCCAAACATAAATCCTTTTAACATGTTGGTATATTTTACCTCAAATGTTTTTCTAGGCACATATCCATTTGTTTTACGAAAGCAGATTATATAATACATATTACTCTGTCATCTCAATTCTACTTGAGAGTATTACATGAATATTTTTCCATGTCAAGAAATATATTTCTGGAACATTATGTTTAATGACTACATGCTATTGTATCACATGTGTGTCAAAACATACTCATTTACCCCATTAGATTGTTTACAGGTAGTTGCCATTATAAACAAAACTGTTGCGAACATACTCCAGCTGAATTTTAGTATACATCTTTATTTTATAGACTAAGTTTTCTAAATTGAAGTTATTGATGTAGATGTTATACACATTTTAAAGTTTATCGTGTATATTATCAAACTGCTCTCTACAAAGTTGTTTTAACTTGCAGTCCTACCAACAGTGGATGAGAACAAAAGGGTTTTGGGGTGAATAAATCTACAATAAATCTGCAAGGATGGTTCTGGAATATGTGTGTATTATTAAATATGTGTTTAATCTGGACAGCTATTAGCAGAAAAGGACACTCTGAATATTATCTTTTAAGCTTCCATCTTATATTTAATGCTTTGTGCTAAAGTTGGAAATATAAAAGTTTCACATTAGATTTCTTAGAAGCGAATTTGAAACAGATCCACATATTCTGCGAAATGGGTTCATTGATAGCATGGAAACTGCGGTAAGATCCATGGATGGTTCACTGAATATCTTGAATGGGTTCTTTGCTTAGCAAAGTGTATTGAGGTCTGCCATTTAATATCATCCATGCCTATTATGTGAGTAATATTTATGCACATCATTAATCCTTGCATGTTAGGCAATTTCCCACTTCTCTAAAAAGAAAAGAAAAAAATTTTAGCTGAATCAATTATTTCAAGCTTTCAATGGCATGATAGAATAACTGTGTATGTATTTACAATATGTAATGTACTCATTTAGACACAAATAGTTCTTTAAAGTATATGTTATGAGGAATATTTTTAGGATTATTGCTCTTTTCCCATCCTTGCATTTCAGGAAGCACTTCTGGTCCCGCCCCTTTCCCAGGCATTCTTGACGTGAGAGCAGTGCCACCTTTAGAGACAGCTGGCCTGCTTCCACCACCTCTCATACGGAACTCCTTCTGTGTCACTGAGAGGGCAGGATTTTGTGAAACTGTATTTGATGCCATCATTAGAAATCTTTTTCCAAGCTATAAAAGCTGAGTTACTACTCATTATCTCTAGTACCCACTTACTCTGCTACTTGCTTTCATCAAAATCCAACATTCACAATTACTCGGTCGTACCTCCCCAATGTTAGCTCAATGTTAAATTCCTTTGCCTCCATTTCTTCCAGTCTCATCAAGTGAAGGACTGTTAAAAGCATCAAAATTCTCATCAGCTGATGACGTTTCAGGCTAATCTACCTTCCTCAGAGTACTGTACTTTGTTCAAAATAAATTAATAGACAGTGCCTTATACGATGAGTCTTGTAGATGTGTTAGTATAAATGCCTCTTTTTCTAAGGGATAATTTTGGGAAAGAAAAAGCTCACTTTTATGTTCAGCCATATATTTAAACAACAACAACAAAAAGGAATTCACACAAATCTCTTGCATGTTTTTATGCAAAGTTACTACTGAATATGAAGGTGCTTGTACACACCTATAAGAAGTATTTAAAGAAGGCAGTAGAATTTTAATACATTTATCTTGTTTGGGCACATGGAAAATAAGAGATCATGAAGGTGCTGCTTTGAAAATACTTTAAAATCTTTGAAGAACTGTATTCTCTACCCAATTAAATGCCCCCTCACCCCAAACTACGTCTACTTTTGAAAGAGAGAGAGAGAACTTAGAGTAGATGGTGTCTTGGTAATCCACAGCCAAAATTTTTAGAACTCAAAATGAAAAATTAAGAGACTTGAGTGGCTAGATTTCCCTGTAGTGTTACTCCCTTTTTTACATATATTATATTATTTCCAGTCTTCTCGTCCACATATTTCCAAGAGAATCAGACACAAAAGAACATTTTACAAATAGGGTGGCAGCTACTGGATTGATAACAGTTGAACATAGCATATGGTATACGCTTTCCTCTCACAGTGTTCAGAGCCTTGTCCTTGCCCACAGCAGTAGTATATAAACGAGAACTATCCAGAACCTTCTCAGTGGTGCATGTGTGCAATTCACGTCACCCTAAAAAGCAAGAAGCACTTTGCCATTGTGTCCTGATTATTTGGAGTAAATCAAACTGAGAGACTAAGAGCTTAAAATAAGTTGTTATAGAGCTCTAATTCTATAAAATCTTATAATTTCATAATATGATAAATGCCATTTAAAATGTTAATTAAAAGATGCATTTGTTTTAATTCATGATACTGAAAATATTGACTGAATTGTGAATTAACACATTTAGGGGTGCAGATGTCATTTTTCATGAGATTTCCTGAATGATGTAATTTTCATATTTCTTATAGCAGTTTAATCAATTTACAGATTTATTTTACATAATTAGTTGGTAAATGAGAAATTTCATTGCTGGTATATAACTATTTTTCTGTAATATAAAAAAGGAAATTAAAATTCTGAATTATAAATAAAAAACAAATATTTTGAAGACATCTGGTCTACATCTGTCTGAAATAAGATAATTTAAAACAGTGTAATTAAATGCAAGAAATACTGAAATATTCACACCTTATAATGTAAAAAGCTCATTTTAGTGTGATTTCTTGAATTTGAGAATTTTTTGAAATTGTAATGTCCTTTAACATTCATTCTGTCATCAGAAAGAAGACTGACACACTAAACAAAACTAACCTGTTTTTCAAATCCTACACTAAGTGAAAGTATTGTCTTTATTACTCTTCTTTTATGTGTTGAATAACTTCCACTTGTAAGTAAATATTCAGCAGACATAGACTCAGACTATAATTCTGAGACTCATAATTTGCCACTCAGTTATTTAAAATGAGATATTAGGGAAGGGGTCTATGATCTCACTCTCTAAATTGTGTTTTCCGTCTAAGCACAAAGATGCTTAGTAAATGTGGAAGAAAGGCGTCCAGACCTGTGGAAATGAAAGGCACTTTAAGTATTTCTCATGACCTATAGAGAATCATCCTTTGAAGATTGGTCTTTCCTTTAAAAAATGTTTTAAATGAAAACTTTTGGAAGAAAGCAAGCACTATATAATTCTGTAGTCCAAACTTGAAATGTTAAAAAAAATTCTCTGCTAACAAAGGCTGCAGAGCCTTTTAAATCCAATGCAACTGGGTTTGGAGAAAGATCAGATCTTGCTGAAAGATCAGAAAGAGAAGTCTGTGGATGTTAAAACACTCAGTGCTGATGCTACAGTATGAGGTTTAGGGAAAAGTTTCTGTTTGAATGCTAGAGGCTCCCCTAACCCACAACAGACCCCGAAAAGAACAGGCAGTGTTTTCTACCCTAAGGTTGTATATACTAATGCAAGTTATGTTCTGTGTGTTTATTTCCAGGGAGCATGACAAAGATCCAGAGGGGTTTTTTAAGGTATTAATACATCTAAAGAGCTTAGGACTCAATTTCCACGTCTCCGTTCTTGGAGAGACTTTTACAGACGTCCCAGGTACCTCTTCTGAATTTCTTAATTGTATTTTTATAGATGACTTTAAGCCGCACAACTCAAGTATTAATTTCCATGTTTTTCTTTGTTAGAATAATCAAGATGAGCGCTGTTAACCCAAAGATTATAGCATGGCATTAAAGTCAGATTCAATTAAAAAAAGACTTAAGTAAGCATTCTTTGATTTAAGTTGAGAACATGAAGTCATCTCTTTTATCAAATATAGTTTATACAATGCATCTTGATGTAAATAAAATATGTTGCTGTAGGCATCTTCACACTTAAGAAAGTGGGAATTTGTAATTGGATGTCCAACCTCTCACCTCTAGGGTCACTGGTTTGAATCCTGCTCACATTGGTAATGACCAAAACACATTACCATCTGTTAGGTGGCCTGTGTAACACATTTTGGCATCTAACTTGTGATGTGGCGCAGACAACAGTCCATGTCACTGATCTATGCATTTTTTTATTGAACTTAGGAAAGACAAAAATTGAAGCTATTAAAGTAGTAAGCCACACAGACTTTTCTCAGCCGTTTCTTTCACCCTGCGTTCTCACTGGTCATGTCTGGGTCAGTAAAGTGAGCGTTCTGACACCTCTCACAAGTACTTTAAGCACATGCGTTCTTGTTTTTAAAGCTTTGGTACTGAGTATTGTTTGAAAACCAAACATAAAGGCAACAAAGTTAAGAAATGACCTTTGTTCAGAAATGCTCTTTGCCATCATGCATTAGAACACTTGAGGGCCACAAAGTCAGGTATACTTTCCTCAAGCACTTGACTCTAGTTCAGGGCCAGGAACTACACGGTCCTGTGCTCATCCACCTCCTCTGCTTTGGCCTGTCTTCTGTCCTCTGCACCTATGAAACTGACATTTACTTGACTTCCCCTGTGGCACCAGGCTTCTTTAGAGGCCATTTGACATTTAGCTCTGTTTCATCCTTTTGATCTCAACTCTGGGGCCTTGGCTTTCAGCACTTTGTATTTTTCTTCATGGTGTTACCTCAGTTTCAAATTATCCTACATATGTGTAAATGTTTTTACCTCAGCCCTACACACGGACACACACTCTGGAATGGAGGTTGTGTTGGGACCAGAGAGTGTGTCTGTACCATCTGTCACTATACCCAAAACCAAGTACGGTGACCAGCTCCCCACTGCAGCTCGGTGAGGATTTATTACATAGACAGGTAAAAATAATGTAAGCGCTTGCCTTCAAGGACTGTATAGCTTTGTTAAGGAGGAGACATTTGTGCTAACCACACACACAGACACACACACACACACACACACACACGCACAAACAGAATAAAACACGAGATAATCCAGTAATACATTAGTATTGACACATGGGACTAAGAGTGTTAATTGAAGAACTAGTAGAGTAGTCAAAACTATCTGAGTAGCCAGTGTTAAAAATGATTGATTAGATTATTCCAAAATGGGAAACACCGTGGGCAAAACATGTAGAGACAAATGTTTTAGATTTTGTGTCTAAATGAGAGAAAGATTTCAATGCATAGTTCTGTGAAGTCATTAATCTAAGTAGAAGAGGAGATTCTGCATGCAGACTTTGTAGTATGTTATTACCTGCTTTACATGGGCTGTGAAAGGTCAAACTAGGGAGGATCTTGATCACCAAGAAAGTTAGGTAAAGGCTAAGAAAGGGACTCTACGTTAAAATAGGAAGTGAAGAAGATGCAACTTGTATCTTATGAAACTGCACCTTGAAATGCTCCCCAGGCAGAATCATAGTAAGACGGTGGGATGGTGATCCCAGTGTTATTCTGTGACATGGTGGCTGGAGAGGTTGTGAAGAGACTGTGTGAGAGAAGTTTTCAAGGAAAACAGAGAGGAATTTGGTAGATTGATAACTATAGAGAAAGGAGGAAAGAAAACAAATCAGATTATTTGCAGTGGTGGCACATCAGTTTGCTTATGCCTCTCTGAGCGGGCTGTGGATGGCCTGAGAAAAGAGGCAAGGTTCAGATATCATTAGTTTCAGTAATGACAGGGCCTATCTTACTGCTTCCTGTAGCATCACTTCAGCATACTTCCCCCAGTGGATGGGGGCTGCCACAGTAAGCAGGCCTCCAGGCCCCCAGCAGGAGCTCTGACTTGGAGAGACACATATAACTAGCAGGCACCTCGGATGCTGTGGCGTACTTGTGCGGTACTATGGAAGCCTGCAGGAAGGGAGATCACATTGTTTCTGGACATGCTCCCTTTCCTCTCCTGACTAAAGCTTCTTTTCGACTCCGGCGCTGACCCATCTCTGTCATTTCAAGGGTAAACCAGTTCTTCATGGCTGCCATGCTTCACCTTGCACTTTTGGGGAACAAGTGTTGAAGGATGCAGGAGGCTGGTAGCTTCCCAGTTTGTGCCTTAGGGAGTCCAGTTAGCTAATCTGCACTCTACAGGCTTCCTGACACGCCATCCTGGGTGACTTCAGCCATTCTTATCACACCTTTGATTTTTGTTTGATTTTTTTTTTTAAGCATACTTATATAGCATTTACTGTAATCCAGGCATTATTCTAAGCCATTTGCAAATATGAACTCCTTAAAGCCTCATAATAATTCTATTCAGTGTTATTATCTCCATTTTTTCCCAGGTGGGGAACCTCAGAGAAATTAAGTAAGGTCGCTCAGCTACGTAGTGTTGTAACCACACGCTTAACTGCATTTTCACGTCCTTGTTTTCAGGGCCTCCTGTTTATCTAACTTTAAGCATTTTTTTCTCAGTTCGCCATCCAGCGCTCATCTCTTACCTAACCCTTCCACAAACGAGCTTGCCTCACAGACATGCTTTTCCCCGCCTGCTCCCTCTTCTTGGTCTGCGTTAGCCTATTTCAGACCTAGATAATAAAACCGATCGTGTGTCATATGATATTATATGGTATGTGATATTGTACCAGTCAGAAGAATTTGTCTTAACACTGTTAACATTTTTAGGGCAGCGGTTTCCTTATAAACAATTATAACCACAATTATTATTACATTGATAACTACAGTTTATTGAAAGCTTCTTACCTGGTCCTCTTCCTGGTTATTTCATACCATGTTCATGATCATCCCAGCGAAGTAGATATTGCTGTCTCTTTTTTTTTTTTAGCAGAGAAACAGAATCTGAATCACTTTGATTAGCTGCCTATAACTGAGTCAGGATTTCTCTTTCACATACAAGGTTAGGTGGAATGGAAAAACAGGCATAATACATGACAGCATGACTACTAATTGATCTTTTCACAACTTCATTCTTCTCCACACAGCTTTTGGGGAAGACAGCATTGCTGAGTGATGGTGTCAGTGCCACCTAGATTTACCATAGCTCTTTCTGATGATGCAAACCATCAGCATTAAATTTATTTGGAAGAAATTTAAAATATAAAACAGCAACTTTGTGGAGTCTCTATGCTGTTGATTATTTTCAAGCAAAAATTGTCATGTGGCTTTTATAATCCTTTTTGTGAAAAGGGTAGTAGAATTAACCACCAACTAGTCCAATCATTTAAATGTTAGATCACCAAAAGTTGCATGTTTTTCATTAGTTTTTATACAATAATATACCAGGAAATAGAAAGTGACAATTTTTGTGCAATTTATTCAATAACTGACCAGTTGAAATGATATCTGTCCAAGCAATGCTCGAGATAGTCAGTACGTAAACAAATGGGCTGCCCTAGTAATGCTCAGGGTAAACTGTTAAGTGGTTAAGATAGTCAGTTGTAATTTGTAGCTCTAACATTTATAGCTCTTCTATATCATTCCTTCACTGTACAAAAGAGGAGAGTGATCAGTGAGCATTAGTGACTTCCCAGAGGCTTCACAGCTGGGCAGTGTGGCAATACGGGCAGTCAAGAGGGACAAGTTTAGGCATGGAACTTGAGAATCAGTCTCCTGATCCCTAGACATTTCAGATGAAATAGTGAATAAAGCAGATATTTTGTGTGAAATTTGGAACTGTAGTCCAGGGTGTTTTTCAATCACCTATTGGAACGCTGCTTAAAATGTTAGAACTGTCATTTCTTGGGCTCTTTGCATAAGCCAGGTGCTGTTCCAAATCCTTTTGGTGTGCTCACTTTCGACCACATATACTAAACGCTTTTGCACTGCCTTATCTGTACTGCACAACAGCCCCGTAACTTGGAATTCATTCTGTGCCTTAGTAAGTTCTAAGGCAAGATAACTTAAACTTTGCCAGAAACCTCCCAGCTCGTTACTTAGGAAGCCATAAACCTTGTCTGTCTGTGTCAAGGCTGTTACTCAGCCTGTGCTCTACCTGGATATCCACAAAAATATGGATGACAAATACCTTTTATAGGTAAGAAATCAGGAGGTAACAGTAATAGAAAATTCCTGAACAATCGTATGAATAATTTCCATTCTTTATGACAATGTTCACAAACAGAAAGCTAGAAAGAACAAAAGCTTCAGTTATTTCCTAAACAGCACCCCACCCTTATAAATGTTGCAATGCATCCCTTCTTTCTTTGGTCCGTCTTCATCACAACAAAGGTGTCGAAACCAGTATGAAGTGGAAAAATATCCAGATAACATGTGTCACCTGTTATTGTTCAGTAAATATTTTAATGAACAAATGAATGAGTTGGGCAAATAAAACATTTAAATTTACATCCCATATCAGATCTGTAGAAACATGAGTTGAAGCCATTTCCAAATACTAAACAGCCAGTGAGTAAATTGAGAGATTTTTCAGGACAAAGCCCCAAGTATAAGCAAGTTCTAGATGCTTTTATTTACATTAATCTGTTTTAATATTATGCCCTTAACTTTACGTAAGTGTTTTCTATTTTTTTCTCATTTCTCAGTTCTTAAGCCCGTCAGAGTAAGCTAGATTATGATAAGGTAAAAGAAAATTTAATATCTCAGTATCTTAAACCACATAGGACTTGTCTCTTGTTTGCATCGTAAGCTCTTAACAGATGAGCAAAAATGTGTTCTACTTCCTGTGGCCACTCCAGGACCCCAGCAATCACAT